TGGTGAGTCTTGGGCACGGAGCTCTGAAACTCCATTAACTTTTATAAAACCTACATTACCTCCCCTAGTTAAAATATCAAAACAAAACACAACAAAACTGCTCTGTGGCTTTTTCTCAAAGATCATGGGTACCTGGGTGTTCTTCTTCAAATCCATAGCCTGAAAATGCCTCTCTGTTTACTGATGCTTCATTGTCAGTTCATTAGAGTACAGGTTGCTGTCTTTCTGTAGACCTCTGTGGCATGATGATGGGATTTTTTTCTTTTGTAGGATTAGCAAAACTGGTTTTCATCATTTACAAAAGTTTGGGGCGTTTTCTCAGTACTGAAAATGCAACCATAAAGCTAGGCAGCGACTTTGCTGGGCGGAATAGCACGATCGCAGTCAACTCCCACGTCATTGCAGCCTCTATCAACAAGGAGTCTAGCCGGGTGTACCTGACTGATCCTGTGCATTTTACGCTGGAACACATTGATGTGAGTTGTGCTAATGAATTAATAGGAAGGTCATAAAATCAGCAAGAGAGAAAAGCAATGCAGAAAAATAACCTTTTTGCATTTGAATTTTAAATGTTGGACTAGGTCAGAGACACAAGCTTAGTTAAGTCTATGAACATAAAATTAAATGAGCCTGGTTCAGTGATTATTAGAACTTAAGTGTATTCTTAATGAAAACTAATTCAGTAATCAACATGAAAATGTAAATGACTAATTTGTTTCTAACTGAAAATTAACTCTTACCTTAGTAGCAGGGTAGAAAATAACTGTTAAGATTCTTGATGGTCTGCTGTAACAAGTTTTAATAACACTTTAACTTTTTACATTAATTTTGGACCAAGTTCTGGAAGCCTATACAAATTGTTTAAATGCATTTATTCAGTGAAGAATAAAGTATTATATCTTGGTTTGTTATACTTTAAATTTGTGTGTATTTTCTTCATGGTAATTTATTTGATGTGTTTCTTTGCTCGTTCGTTTGGTCCTTTCTGTTTTCATGTCTCACATGGGGAAAGTAAGTAATCACTACTGTGACAGAGAAAATATGGTTGGATTTTCCTCTCATTTTGCCTCTTTTTATAAAGCTGTTTTGGTTTTTTTTTCATCAAAATAGATAGACATTGAGGAATGAGCTTTTTCCTGATGTCTGTTCACATGACTTTGGCTTGACCAAAGGTGAGAATCAAAGGAAAAAGATCATATTTTCAAATTCTCAATTACAGGAAAAATACCTTCAGAATAAATTCGCAGTCCTAATTTTGCAGAAAGCAAAAATGACTATAGTGTACCATCAGTGCATAAAATCGTAAGATGGAAATTGTAATTGTTTAAAATTGGGTCTACAGTAATTGAGACTACACTTTAGAGTGTTTCGGACTATAAAGTCCCTTTTAAACTAGATGTCTTCCTTGTATAACATAGTCCACAATTTTGCTGATGAAAAACTTTATTGTCCGAAACATGCAAAGTTTAATCTAAATTACCCTTTACACATATTAAACAATTGTGATTGCCATCTTAGTGTGTAAAATCCTCATTTTATGTTATCCTTTTATCTCCCAGCCTGACAATTATTTCAATGCAAATTGTTCCTTCTGGAACTACTCAGAGAGGACTATGATGGGATACTGGTCAACTCAAGGCTGCAAACTGGTCGACACAAATAAAACTCATACAACGTGTGCTTGCAGTCACCTAACCAACTTTGCAATTCTTATGGCTCATCGGGAAATTGTGGTAGGTAATGATGTTTCTAGCCATTGGCAGGGAACAAACTTTTAAAGATTTAGCTTTAAATCTCTAGCAAGATCCAAAATTGCCAAAGTTTCTTAAGTATTTATAGTTTTTTTTCTTTCCAAAGCAATTTGCTTTCTGTAGCACTTTTCTTCCTCACCCATAAAGTTACAAGCAAAATAACAGGAAAGAAAAACAAGGAAGGACAAGAGTTTACTTCAAGTCATATTTTAAAGTTACTGACCAAGCTTACAACCGTTCTACAGACTTCCCACAGTACAGCTGGAGAGTATCTGTAGGGGCAGCTGTGCAGGCTGTTCCCTGGAAGCACAAGTGCCAGCTCTCCTTAGAGCAGGAAGGTCAGGCAGCTTCCATACTGGTTGTTTAAATGCCTCTTCATACTCTGAAATTTTGTGGTCTTGTTAAAGCACTTACTGGGTATCAGGGCGTCCATGCAATATTTGCAAGGATATGAGACTTCTCATAAAGTCTCATATCTTTCTCATTGTATTTGGAAAGGTTGCTGAAAAGATAACCAAGATGACAAAAGTGATTCTGTCGCAACTGAAGCGACAAACCTTCTTTAGCTAAACGTGAGATTACAGCTGGAATTACACGCATAACATATTCTGCATTTTGTCCTAATTGGTGTGTAAATCATTGCTTTCTTCTTCGCTGTGGAGTTGCAGGTCTGTAGGAAAGAACACATACTCTTATAGGAGGTCCCAAAGAAAACTCTCCTCTTTGTTTGCATCAGAGCTTAGTGGCACTTTCAAAATGTTATGTTTCTCTACTTGTTCTTGTCTCACAAGTTTACAGCAAGCCATAGGAAAAGTAAAAATGCTATCTGATCTGGCTAAAATAGTCATATTTTTCTCTCAGTCCTGCTCCTCTTCTGCTTACCCTAATCTTGCTCTTCTGGGAAGCTGACCTGAGACTGAGAAATTACTGAATACATTTTGCCCATCTCATGTAATGGACAAGTAACTTTTCTGGATGCTACCTGTGAAGATAGGTTTTTGTTTATACTCATAAAGAGTCATATTAATTTTCTCCATTCTTGGTTATTTCTAGTACAAAGATGGAGTGCACGAATTGCTCCTCACTGTCATCACCTGGGTGGGAATTGTCATCTCTCTTGTTTGCCTGGCCATCTGCATCTTCACATTCTGTTTTTTCCGTGGCCTGCAAAGTGATCGTAACACTATTCACAAGAACCTTTGTATCAACCTATTCATTGCTGAGTTCATTTTCCTAATAGGCATCGATAAGACAGAGTACAAGGTAAGTTTTCTCTGTGTGTACTGATCTTGTTCTCTGAAATGACTGTCTGAAATGGATTTGAAGTAAAACATGACAACACTGCCAAGCTTTCAGCATTCTGACACAGCAAGGCTGAAATAAAAGCTCAGTGTGAAAATAAGATAGACATGTTCATAAATAGTATTTACATCCATCAGAAATATCACTGTGGCCTTAATTTCTCACTTAATTGCAATGTTTTTCATTTTCAGTTGAGAAACATTGGCTATTAACGAAGCAGGTGGTTAAACTTTTGAAAGAGGAGATGAAATCAAATGTTGACATACTGGGAACATATATATGTTTTCTCTATATATTCATATGTCTCAACAACTATTGACTACTTTTGTGTGTGTATATATATATATTAGTACAGGGCCTTATCTATATACTTACACATGTTTTACATTGCACATTTATGCAGGTTTTTTGGCAGTACTGGTGAAATTAATTCTGAAATGATTCATTGGGTTGAAATCTAATAATTCAGTATAGTTTCATCCAGAACTCAGCCAAAGGGGGGGAGAGAATTCAGATTGATTTCTGTTACGACAGTAGAAACTTCCAAATTACAGCAGATAAAAATGGCTTGATGGCCACTTCATAATTCTAAATAAGCTGTATTACCTTATGCATCTAGAACCAACTGTTCATGTCTCAGATTATCTAAACTGTAAGTCCTAAAAGCATATCAGTTTCAAAATCAGTTTCAAAAGAGTTGCTTATAAAATTGAAAAGTCCACTCTATAATTGAAGAGCCGGGGGTGAGGCTGCGTTTTCCTTATCTTCTTTCACACTGTTTAGGTAATTTACTTTCTGTAGCTACTGAGCACACATTAGTAATTTCAAATGTTCAGTGTATGTTTTCAGGTAGGGAAAATGCTCCTGAATTTGTGAAGTATATGCTGTTCTATTACACACTATTTAATTGGAGATATAATGATGTGAAGTTTTGTGGTTTATATTTCCATCTTTCTTTTTCTTTGCAGATTGCATGTCCAATATTCGCAGGTCTCTTACACTTTTTCTTCCTGGCAGCCTTTGCCTGGATGTGTCTAGAAGGAGTGCAGCTTTATCTAATGTTAGTAGAAGTATTTGAAAGTGAATATTCTAGGAAGAAGTACTATTATGTTGCTGGCTACCTCTTCCCTGCTACAGTAGTTGGTGTCTCAGCAGCTATTGACTATAAGAGCTACGGAACAGAGAAAGCGTAAGTAATTGCAAGTGACCTGAGTGTTTTTCAAGTGAATAATTTTTTAAAGCCTATTAGCTGTCAGAGGGCCCCTGACAGACTAAAATGCCATCTGAAAGCTTTATTGGTAAGAGAATGGCAATGCTGTGCACAAATTACAATCAAGTCTTTTGTAATTCTCCAGGTTCAGAGGATTTGTACTCTAGAGAGACCGATTCTAAATTATGGTCTTTCTTTTAACACAAAAGATTGACCTGAAACAAATTGAGAAGGTAAATAACTTTTTGGCCTCAAATGTATATTAAGTAAAAATTCTCAACTTAAAGTATCTGACAGGCCTAACCACCCAGTTTTAAGCTAATGCTTCATTAGATCTCTTTGTTCAACTGCCCCTCTAGCTAACTCTCGTCCTGAATTATGACAGTACAATATTCCAACCCATATGTTTCACTTTGATAATATTTTATCAGGCGAGTAGAGCAGGATTAAAATTAGCCACTGCCTTTTATTTACAAAAATACAGATCTATATAGAAAGTGACAGAAGGTAGACTGGAAACATTTCTGAGGATTTGAGTTGCTGGAGGCATTAATTTGCCTTCCAATAGTATTTACTTTGTCCTTTGATGCAATTAGTTACAGAATGGGAAGATACTGTTGGCTACAAGAAAGCTGCTTGATTTTGCTACTGATGAAAGACAAATAAGAGCAATAACTGGGCTGTATGAAAAACGAATTGCTAAGTGAAGTCGGCCCTAATAGGTTTACACGTCATTTAGTCTGGTATCATATGTATTCTTTCTCTACTGTTTAACTCCCAGTTGGGGCATTTTGTTTATACCATACTGTTTTTCCGCAAAACATGGCATCTGAACATTTTCTGTCTCTTACTCCTCAGGAGTAAGCACTTTGCATATGATATAAAGTTAAAAGCAGATTTTGGAGATTACATGGAAAACCTGTGAGAAATATTTACTGATGTTAGATTCGTTAGTCCACCTGTGACTAAACCTTTTGACTGAAAGGAGAGAGAGCTCATTTTGGTTTTGTTTCTTCTTATGTGTTAGCTATTCCTGATGATATATTTTCAAGTTCAATAGTGTTATTAAACAGGACTCATCAGAAGAGTTTCAGGTTAGGAAAAATTGTCCATGGACTAAGTGGTACTGTGCAATATTTATCATTGTTTACTGGCAAAATGTTAGCTTAAGAAGTATTTTTGCACTTTCCATTTATTGGACTGAGGTGCTAATACAATTGTTCACTTTTCATTCTTTTTTCCATGATAGTTGCTGGCTCCATGTAGATAACTATTTTATCTGGAGTTTTATTGGACCTGTTACCTTTATTATTCTGGTAAGAACTTTGTTTTTTCCTTTCCTTTTAGGTTGCCTCACAGCAAAGTTAAAAAGATTGAATAACGTCAGTCAATGTTATTCACAAGACATTTCATGAAAATGCTTATAAACAATTTGTAATGTGACCAGTGGTTACATAAATGTTTAGAAATCTTTAAAGAGTGCTGATCAAATGATTAATTGTCAAAACTGTGGTGGTACTTCAGCATAGCCATTTTTTCCTAATGGCTTGAACTCTGAAGATCATATCGACATGTGTAGTCATATGAAAAATCAATGAAGTACAAAACACAGGGTTTTTTTTAAAGGAACCATTATTATTGCTTTCAATTGAGTCACTATTGTACACGTTCCAGAATTTAACTGCTAATTATCCAACATAATTATCTCAAAAGGGTGTTCTAACGCATTGGATAATTAAATAAATCTTATATTTCATTACACTTACACAGTATTTGTATGTGTATTTGCATATGTATATTTTTCCATAACTATTTCTGTGTGTATTTATGCTACATGTAATGTATGTCAGAAATACAAGTTCATCTGTTTTAGTATAAATAATAGAGTATTTTGTAACCAGTAGAAAGCACATACACGTTCTTGCAGTCATTTGAGTAAAGTCGTCGTATGCGTGCACACCCATCTGTACACCCACAGCTGTGTGCCCCATTGTCCATTTAAGATTGAATGTTGTGTTCATACATCAATTATCCATCCTCTGAGCATTTTCAGGTAAAAAGCACATAGTCATCTGTCAACCCAAGGAAAAAACATCTCCCTGTTGTTTCAGACTAATAATACCAACACTGCACAACATAGAAATTTGGAAGGAAAAGTGAACGCAAGATGTGCGTTTTGGCTCACCTTGTTTTCCTCTACTAGTTCAGTATCTTTAAAGCCTGGCTATACTTGAGAAATATTCTAGAAGGCGGGTGCTGGGGACATAGCTGATGTACATAAAGAGCTTTTCTCATAACTGCTGATAGTTTGGAAGAATGAATTAATTTGTTTTCATGCTTTTGAAAGTCTGAATAGTTACCTGTTCCCCTGCCTTTATACAGTAGTAGAGTTGTGAAATGTTAACAGAAGTTCAGTTCCCTTCAATTTCCAAATTTAGGAATTGCATTTTGTCATTATTATTTTTTCAGCCTGAAGCACATGCATCAGGCATAATTTTGAAATTTCTGACTTTCATAGATCTATACTCCAGACATACTATTTCAAAATTTTTTGTAGCTTATAGTTTACATTACTTCTCCATGTAAAAATAAACTGATACTTTGATTATGGAACTTTCTATAAATAATGTACCCAGGCAATCTTTTGTAGGTACTTTATTCCTTCCTGGTATCTTCAATATTGAAATAAGCTTATGTCTATTTAGGTTGGTTTTACTCTCTGTTTATATCAAAAACTATTTCAGTCCTTGAGCAGTCACTTAAGAAAAGATAGTTGTGCAGTGTAGAAGTTGTTTGAGTTCATTGGCATATTTTCAAAGAAAAAGGCATAGATGCCAAAACTCATGTGTGTATGAGTTGAATTAGAAAAATTATAGCATTTGTAAGATTTAAGTATAGACCATAATAATTGTACAAAGTTTATTCTAAATACATTTAAATTAAATCAAGTCTCGGGATGATAGGGATTTTTTTTTTAATTAAACCTACAATTACAACTGAAAGATATACTTAGTATTTTCAATATGATAGACAATATTTTTCAACACAAAGTTGTTTCTTGCAATTGTTGTAATCATTACTAGAAGATTGTTCTAAGTTTCATGCCACAATAGTTCAGTTAGCTCAAGTCTGATCGTATGGTGATAATTTTGCTTTTTGTGTCTAGCTTTCTATTTTATTATTACTGGGAGTATTTTGCTAAGTCACCTCTATTTCTCTCCCTTGCTTTAAAATAACATTTCACATGGGAAGCTTTGGGCATTGCTGACGGCTTTTTCACTTCCTCATAACCAGGTCAGAGTGAGAATAGAGGTGAAGGACATTTCATCATATTGACCATGTACAGACATAGTTCACTATTATTTACTGGCCATGACATTATTATCCTCCAGCAAATCATTTAGGCTGAGACGCAAAAGGCCTTTGGGAGCAGTATTCCCAACTTCAAAAATATGAAACAGCAGGTAGCAATCACAGCACAGTTCCTGGGAGTAATTCTTCTCTAGCAATTGCTTTGCCCTCTAATCGTCCCAACTGAGAAAGCAAGAGGGACTGGAGGAAGAAGTGTGAGAAGTGTAATGGCTGAAAAATAATATGTTGTGCAGTGTAACTGAAGAGCCATATTTGTAGTGTAGCTTACTTAGTGTCAGTAGCATGTGAGAAGTTCACTTTGGTAAGCTTTTTAACATGTTAGTCAAATCACTTTTATGATGCTCAGTTTAATAGTACTGTCAATGCACATAAATTCTTTTTTGACAATATTGCTTACTACTATAATTTACAAATTTTTCTCTGAGTTTATAAGCATTTGCCCTTGTATCTGTATAGAGGTTTGCACAAAATGAGGATGGGAAGTATAGGGGGGAAGTATGAAGTTCCTTAGTACGTCTTCTGAGGAACTTTCAACTTCCCTGTTTCCATAGCCTGTCATGCCTTCGGGCACCAGGGTTATTATATCTATGAGAAAAGAGCATGTAAGTAATGAGCGGTGGGAAACCATTAGTATGCCTGAAATGGTTTAATGAAAGCTTGGATCATGATACGTCAGGAGCTGTTCTTATCATTTGGACAGCTCCATCTGCATCTTTAATAATTAATTCAGTTCAGTAGGAGTTCAGCATGCACACTCATTTAGAAGCCTTCTTCAGAGAGCACCTCTCTCGCTGCCTGTCCCAGAGAGAAATAGGCTTCTGCATGGCTAAGAGCAAAGATCTGGAGATACAAGAACAGTTTTAGAGCTGCATTTGCCAGGTAGCAAAAGCTCCCGGGAGTTCAAAAAGGGTCAGAACATGTGCAGTTCAGCTAGGTTACTTCAGAGTGGTGTTTCTGTTCTTCTGTCTTATCATATCCATGTCAGCACTGCAGGCTGTGTGGAATGAATTTTAAGCTGCTAAGCTCAGGCAGACGTGATTCAATTGAGCAGGTTGATGGCTATAAAACAAACAGTACACTCCTGTAATCTGTGGTCAGAAAAGCCTGAGTATTTTGATTTCTATGTAACTCCATATTCATTCATATCCAAGGAATAGGTGATGTTGGTTTGACTTTAATTCAGCCAAAACCACTGGAGTTTGCTTCTCGCAGATGGAGCCAATGTTAGGCTACCGAAGGTTGTTTAAGCAAAAATTCCTAGGATGACCTGTTTCATCATGATAGGAAAGGTAATTTCTTTTTTCACTCAGGTTGAGGCATTACTTCACCAAAGTCAGTGGATGCATACATACAGATGCACACATAATCTAGCTCCACATATAAAAACAGACTGTATTTGTAAGCTTATGCGTATAAATAATACACGTATATCATTCTATAATAGACACTTGATAAATGGTATTTATCTATTGCTCACAGGGGGGAATTTATCATGTATTCATCATTTATTGCCAAATCTTCTAGCTTTATTTGGCTACTAATCCATTGTACCTGCAACTAATTCCAATCCATTAGTCTTCTGTGCAGGTTACTACATCCACTTTTTTAAAAAAGTTAATTTGACTTGAAGACACTCCCTCTCTCAAAATTACATAGCTTTCAGGTGCCAGAAAGACAAAATTTCTATTTATACCATTTTTCATGTCCAATATACCTTCTGATTTCCAAACCGTAAACGGCGCTCTGTGTGTTGGCTGTGAAAGAAGCATGACCTTCAGGGTGCTGCATTTGATTATTACCATAAAAATTCTTCAAATTTTATATTTTGAAGTAGTTGCTTTTTATTTTTTAATATATATCTAATTGTCTTTCTTTTGCTCCATTCTATCCCATTACGCTTGTCATATTAAGAGATAAGTAGGAACTAGTATTTTGAAAGGTGCTCTAATTGTTTTTCTTCACTTTCACATACATTTCTAAAATCAGAGTGTAGATGAAGCTAGTTCTCTATGTAATCCAGTATCCTGTCTCTTATAGTAGGTAATATATTTTAGAAATTACAGCAAAAACCTAGTATAAACATTAATGAAATACTATCAATCCAAGGTTTTGCTTAGTCTTTTCAGCTAATGTTTTAAGAGATCTCACATTATAGCTCCACCTACTGTAACTGTGTGTTTTGTCACTCTCGATATCACAGCAAAATCTTCAAATCCGAACCTGATGTCTGGCCAGACTTTTAAATTCTTACTTTTAGCCTTCAAAAGAGTGTTGGTCTGATTTTCAGAAGTGCAGCATGAGAGAGGTTTTACTGACTTCATCAAGGGTGTAATTTCACTGTTTGAGATGTATGTGGCTGTGTGTGTGTTTACACAATGTATTTATATTTTTTATTATCCTTGAAGGAGAGCGGTACTGTTCAGGTGCAGATTTTGGTTCATCTGGGGTGGATGCAGCCCAGTTGTCAGGATGACGCCCAGCCAGTCACTAGCCCTTTATGTTATATGAAGTGATGAGAAAGTCGTCAAGTTTGCTTTCAAAAGCCTATCTTGCCATTCATGTGGGCCTTTAGGTGACCCCAGAGTATTGCGTGTTTGTGGTGAACATTTTTCGTAAAGAAAGGTGTGCTACTCAAGCCATCTGTCAAGCTTGGAAAACATCTACAGATTCACTGGCTTAGATCAGTAACAGTTCAGTCCTCACACAGTCACGAAACAATTCAGGTTGGAAGGGACTTCCGGAGATCTTTGGTCCAACTTCCTGCTCAGCTCAGGCTCAGCTCTGAGCTCAGGCCGGGTTGCTCAGGGCTGGAAAAGCTTTCCTTATACAAAGTTGGTGTACAAACGAATACAAAAGCACTAAGTGTGTTTCCTTCTCCCACCACGTATTTCTCACCAAGAAAAGTAATTCAGCCATTCCTTCTAAAAGCAATTATTCTCCAACAAGTTCCCTTCCCTCACGGCTTAGTGTCTTGTGTAATAAAATGGCAGGATGCCCAAAAGTCTTTAACTCATGAGATCCTCCAAAACAATCAGTTTCTAGATGAAGAGCGGTAAGGGAGCCAAAAGCGAATCTGTAGAAAGGTTTGGTTACAGTATTTGTAAGCGGGCAAAATAGGCTTTTGATAATGATACAGTGTGTAACAGAGATGCCAACATGTTTGAACAAGTGGCAAACCATGGTCTTTTGATTGCTGAAACTGAAAACTATGCAATATTTCACAGTGATGGAGAAACAAGTATCATATGCTCTGTTGTCATAGTTACTTTGTCTTCAAAGTACAGTATTTTGCTTTTTTTTCTTTTTTTTTGGAAGGACTTTTTCAGCTACTGTGATACAGCATTATTATTCCTGTGGGCTGCTTTTGTGGTTCTATACCTAAATTAGAATTAAAGTGTCTGTTAAGAAACTGCTGTGTACAGTTATTCCCTAGTCCAGCAAGGACATACATACAGACAGAGCTGAGTATCTACATAAAACCTGCTTAATATGCTGGAGCTTGGCTCAGGCTCTGGGTTAGAGCTGTGTCTGCTTGCATGTCACCGAAGGAACGTCAGTATGTAAATACAAGCTTTTGGTTTTTTTATGTCAAACTAGCACTTCAGTCATACAAAGAATCAGAGGATAAAAACTTCTCATTTCATAAGGCAGTCATTTATGAGCTAAGCCATGTCTATAAGTTTTTGATCCAAGAATGATGTTGCTAGTACAATACAGGATACTTCAGGCTAGCTACTTAGGCAAGGATTAGCTTCCAGCTGTGCTGTAAATGCTATTCTGAACTGGATTGTGCACTCCCAGTTGCATAGGTTGCAGCCAAAGTTGATTTACATGTTAGGATTGGCATGAGGCATGTCTCTTAGCTCTTAATCTGTTTCTTTTCACAAAAAGTAAATTGAAGTTACATTTTTTTTAAGCAGGCTGGAGAAGTTCATGTTATGTCAGCTACCAAAATGTGCAAGAAACTTTTTCAAATACAGAAGAAGAAAGTCTGCCTGCAAAGGCATGGAACTGAGGGTCAGGTCACGTGCAGAGCCCCCATCCTCTGTCTGGTGCAAAGGCCAGGGAGAGAAGCAACTTGTTTTCTCACCCAAGGAACTTACGCAGTACAGTGGAAGCCTAGATAAGAGGAACAAAGTGATCACAATGTGTCGTCATTTAATCATGGCCAGCAACTAAGCACCACACAGCTGCTCACTCACTCCCCCACAGTAGGACGGGGGAGAGAATC